ACGTTGGCGGTAGGTGTTGATGACAAGCACCCTTCCCTATAGTCTTACACTGCTAAATTATGGATTACTAGCGCAGATAGCCCTCGTGTAGCTTTGCGCGAAATTCAAAAACAAACAAACCTTCTATACTTCTACTCCACTGCTGAAAAAATCTGAAAAAAACATTTTGGGATAGTTCTTTTTGTTCTTGTTTCCGAAAAGCCAAAAAGCCTCACAATAACATTTATAGTCAGTGAAAAACATCAACAGACCTGTGGTAGCTTTACACCAGCTAAAAACTTCTTTGTTGGATCCATCTGTATTATACGAGAATGGGCCCGATAGTAAAACCCTGGAAAAATTACTATCTATTACATTAACTAAATTATTAAAACACTTATTAATATTAGTATCATTAAACATTGTGGGCTTAAGTTCTCGAGTGTTCAGTTCTGGCCAAAGCCTCTCACTGTAAGTACCATCATAATTTAGGCCTTGTGAAAATCAACTTTCGTCAAAGTTTGTTTGTTTTTTCTCAATCTCTTGGTTTACGCTTTTAAAATCACATTTAGGCCTATTCTCAGCAATTTGTAAGCCTTTAATTATAGACAGCGGGAGAATTAGGCCTAAGCGCTCTTCAAAAACAAACTTTTTTTCAGTAAACTGTGGCTTTGTAATTGTACACCACTTAGACATACACGATTTGTGTTTTGACTTCGTTATATAAATTAAAAAACAAAAGCACAATTCAACAAGTATAAACAAACACAATCTGAAGCACTGAGCACAAGACTTGAACATAACATACCTCTTTACCTTCCCGCTTTTAAAAACTAACGTTTTCACGTATTGTAATCATGATTAATTCGCAAATTGTAACAGACAAAATCTTCCCGATCACAAATATATTATTTTAACAATTATTTTTTTTAATTTCTCACTTTAACTTAAAAGCAAAATTTTCACATTGCTTTTATTTATTTATTTTAAACTTTGGATTATTTTACACTATTTCACTTTTAATATTTAGGGTTTCTATTTTGTAATGTTATTGTAGTTAACGAGGCTTATCGTGAGAACGTCATATTGTAGACCTTTAAACAACAGGTGTGTTTACGCCCTCTATTCCCGCACCTTTAAGATAAATAACAAAAACAAATGTTCATAGGCGTATATAATGCTTATGTTGATAAGAAAATGAAATTCAGTTAACTTTCCGAAAACATTATTTAAGGGTGTAAAGGCTATAAACCAAACTTTTAATAAAAAATTAAATCTTACTTTAAATACACCCGAAAGATATTTTTATGGTAATAGTGGTTTGAAAATGTTCACATTAATGTTGTTGGTAATGATCTGAAAAACATATCATAACCTTGTGCAAATTGAGAAAAAGGAAATGAAGGGTAGTCATAAGCCTTCATGTAAAGAAATTATAAATTTCACGCGTGTTGTATCTGAAGCCTAATCTAACGAATCATTTACTTCCCAAACAAAAATACAACCTATACTTGAAAAACACATCTTTATTACATGTTCTTGTTACTTTCCTTACCGTTCCTTCGATAACTTTATATTTTCAATGATTTTATACATGTGTCATGGACCGAGAGTTCTTAATAACCTAATCAGGCATGAGGACAAAACAGAACAGTAAAGTGTAAGCAATGAGATATATTTATACCAAATCCTGAACATTGGGGAATGCCTGTAAAATAGCCAGTTCATTTTCTTTAATTAAGCGCAAGGTGAACATCCTCTCAGTCAGTAGTGGTTTATAAATCCCATTCATGAATGCATTTAATAAAATGTTACATTTACTATAACCAAAGAATAGTATTTAATGATTCAGTTATCAAATCAGCTATTGTACTGACACCTTAAACGTAATTACCTCTTTAAAAATAAGTTTTTCTCTTAAATAACAGTTTTTCTAAACTAAACCCACTTTAGGCTAAATACTTATTTAAAGAATATGATAGTAAATTCGGAACACGGTTCTCAATATTTTTATTTTACCTATATAGACTGTTATACCATTAGTAAGATCTGTTTTGATATTTGTGTGACCCTGATAAAAATTCATCAAAGCTTACTTTGCTTCCTAAAGTAACAAATTAAAGTGTCACAGTAACAAACAATTCAGCTGGTTCCATGCTTACTTTACTCCCTACAGTAATGGCTAATTTGTGGTGTGTCACAGTGATACACAATTTAGCTGGTTCTATTCTTACTTTACTTTCTAAAGTAATGGCTAATGTGTGTGACACAGTGATAAACAATACAAATGGTCCCATTCTTACTTTACTTCCTGAAGTAATGACTAATGTATGTGTCACAGTGATAAACAATACAAATGGTTCCATTCTTACTTTACTTACTACAGTAATAGCTAATGTGTGTGTCAGAATGATAAACAATTCAAATGGTTCCATTCTTACTTTACTTCCTACAGTAATGACTAATGTATGTGTCACAATGATAAACAAGTCAGATGGTTCCATTCTTACTTTACTTCCTACAGTAATGACTAATGTGTGTGTCAGAATGATAAACAATTCAGATGGTTCCATTCTTACTTGACTTCCTACAGTAATAGCTAATGTGTGTGTCACAATGATAAACAATTCAAATGGTTCCATTCTTACTTTACTTCCTACAGTAATAGCTAATGTGTGTGTCACAGTGATAAACAAGTCAGATGGTTCCATTCTTACTTTACTTCCTACAGTAGTGGCTAATGTGTGTGTCACAGTGATAAACAATTCAGATGGTTCCATTCTTACTTTACTTTCTACAGTAATGACTAATGTGTGTGACACAATGAAAACAATTCAAATGGTTACGTTCTTACTTTAATTTCTACAGTAATGACTAATGTGTGTGTCACAGTGATAAACAATTCAGATGGTTCCATTCTTACTTTACTTTCTACAGTAATGACTAATGTGTGTGACACAATGAAAACAATTCAAATGGTTCCGTTCTTACTTTAATTTCTACAGTAATGACTAATGTGTGTGACACAGTGATAAACAATTCAAATGGTTTTGTTCTTACTTTACTTCCTACAGTAATGACTAATGTGTGTCACAGTGATAAACTTGTTACGTCTCTGTATGTTTGTTTGTTAATTTTTCTGCAATACAAGTCCTTTCTTAAATAAAACTTGTTTATTCTTCCTCAATACAACTTTGCAATACACTTAATTTTCTCAGTTACTTTGACTTAAACACACACTATAGTTCACAACAATTCACTCACTTTCTACCGCACTTGACTCAATTGTCCGTCTCTATCTCCGCCTGTCAGCAACTATAGTTCCGATTTCTGTATCTGCTATCCTCGGTTCCCGCCGACCGTAACTGCTGTCCCCACTCTCTCTCTCTGTCTAGCGCACTTATATACGATAATACCCTCTGTTCTAAAATCTTCTGGGCTCTCAACACGTGCTACCAGCGTCACTTGACTTCCGCTGTCATAACACACCAGCGTTTATCGCAAATCTTCTAAAATACTCGTCACGTGACCCCTGCTGTTGTAACAAACTATTCAAATGGTTCCATTCTTACTTTACTTCCTACAGTAATGACTAATGTGTGTGTCAGAATGATAAACAATTCAGATGGTTCCGTTCTTACTTTACTTCCTACAGTAATGACTAATGTGTGTGTGTCACAATGATAAACAATTCAGATGGTTCCA